TTCCAACCCCTGGGATTCTGTGATTCCATGAAGGCATTCGAGGGGAGACATCATTGTGGCCTAAAAAAAGTGTAAAACGTTTAAGCTCCCTGAAGGAATGACATTGCTTCTTTCTCCCCAGATACCTGCTGTATGATGTAAACCCTCCCGAGGGCTTCAACCTGCGCAGAGATGTCTATGTCCGCATTGCTTCCCTCCTGAAGACCTTGCTGAAAAGTGAGAACTGGGTGTTAGTTTTGCCTCCCTGGGGACGTCTTTATCACTGGCAGAGCCCCAACATCCTTCAGGTCCGGCTCCCTTGGTCCGAGTTCTTTGATATCCCAAACCTCAACAGGAACATCCCTGTCATTGAATACGAGCAGTTCCTTGCAGGTAGCGTATGGCATCCTACAATCTACAACTCAGTGTGTGAGGTGGTTTCCTCACAGGCTTATTATCCATGTATGTGCTTTTATTCCCTATCTGTGAAATAAAAAAGGTGGCAAGAAGAGGGATGGGATAGAGTTGTGCTGTGTAACAAACCACTGGGGTGAAATAACCCAACGATTTGGCAGCTGATTTGAAGTGCCCTTGACTTCATGGGGACCCCAGAGAAAGACAGTGCCTGGGGTTGAAGTAACAGACACTTCTGCATAGTTTTGGCTGTAGTACCAACCCTGTAGGAGCTCTGGAACTCTGTCCCAATACAGACAACCCACCTGCTTTTTATCCCCTGCTGTTTGTCTACCACATGGCATATAAGAAAAAGGCTTTCCTTAAGAACGTGGAAACCCTGAAGTTGATTCCTTTAGGATTGAATGCAGTGTTGAGCTAATCACTGAGTGTCAAAATACCAAACATCACAGACTTTTTCAGCAAAGAAAATAAAGGCCACCAAGCATCACACCTCTGCAAAGAGCTCTGAAAGGATCGTTAGCCCCCTGCCTTTCAGGAAGAAGCATTTAGAAACCCTGAAATGCAGAGGAAGAGCACCTTGCACTTGTTATTTTCTTGGAGGCACTTTTCCCATAGGAGCTGCCTACAGCATTGAAACCTCTGTGCTTCATGTTGTGCTTTCTCCAGCTTTTCAAACAAATTTGCATGGTGATTCAGTTCTGCCTGGCACATTAAATCATGCATAGCTGGGTGGGAGTAGCAGGTTGTCACATCCCCTGACCCTTGCAGCTTTCCTGGCTCACACAGAACTTCCTTTCCTATTTTCCAGGGAAAACAGGGAAGAGAGAGTGTTATCATTAGCATTTTTAGCAGATTTTCAACTGCAGGTAATGGCAGTGTGGTTTTTCATGCTCATAAATGCTTTGCTTTGCCTTCGTGCTCAGAGTCAGGTGGACCCTTTATTGAACAGATCTATGTGCTACAAGGATATGCAGAAGGATGGAAAGAAGGAACATGGGAAGAAAAAATAGATGAAAGGCCATGCATTGATCAGCTTATGTACTCCAAAGACAAACACGGGTACTACAGGTAACAGCTGGCAGTCCTTTCAGTCTTCTTTTTAGTTGTATTCTGTGAGACACTGGCCTGCTCTAACAGAACAGACTTGGCAGCTGTAGTGTCTGTGAATCTGGATTCTTGGGGAGGCTTTGTTTTTAAAACTCCCATCAGTAGTAAAATGCTGTACTGGTACCAGAATACCTCATTTCAGAGAGTTCTTGTTTCACACAAAAACAGCATAAAGGAGATGGCTGTTTCATTGACATTACAGACCATCTTTCCAGGCTATGCTGTTGGTTTCATTATATGTGGCATTAATTTAAAACTCAAGCCTATGAACCAATACTTTTTGTTCCCTTCCAGAGGATGGTTCTGGGGTTACGAGGAAACACGGGGCCTGAATGTGTCTTGCTTGTCTGTCCAAGGATCTGCCTCTATTGTGGCTCCCATCCTTTTGAAGAACACTTCAGCACAGTGAGTTGCCTTCTGTTACTATTTGTTGTTGTCCTGTCTGCTGGCAAACCCATTGCCAGGTGGGCAGAGCGTGGGCAGCTTACAGGCCATGTCCCTCTGCTGTGGTGCTTTATCACTCAGTTACTGTCATCTATTAAAATAGTTACAAGGGGAATTTACACTGCCAGTTGGGTTAAATGCTGCAGTTAAAAGGAGATATCCTTGAGCTCCTTCATATTCTCAGGGAGCTAAATGTTCTCATCCACCCTGTGTTTACTAGTTTATGGTCTAACTCCTACACATAGAAGGACATTCCTTGTAGCCTTCAGTGTCCAGCTGATTGTCAGCAGTGGTAACCTAAAGTTGGTTATTTTCTCCCTCTCAGTGGTGCAAGATCCTGATA